ACTAAATACTTTTTTCCCCCACTGTCACTGTATATATGTATATATATATATATATGTGTGTGTGTGTGTGTGTGTGTGTGTACTATATGTGCTCTCAATTGTTTAAAAAATATAACTAATTAATCACACATTTCTTCCTGAAATCAATCATGATTAATCCCACCTAACAGTAAAGTTTTTAAATATAATATATTGCAATAATTATAATAAAAATTATGACATTTAAATATATTGGTTTATTTGAAAATTGTTTTAAGTTCACTTAATTAGAAGTTGTTATTTTTTAAATATATATATATTTAAAATTTTTATTTCTAAAACATTTTTTACATTTTACGTGCCATTACCAAATCATTTACACAACCAATTAAAAACTCTTTTGGAAAAACTAATAGCAGTTTTGGGAACAACTCATGAATGTATAAATACCAATTAATTTTTTTAATACCAGGTCAATTGGTATGTGCACAATTTGTAATTCATTTTCTTATGAAAAAGTGCAAAGTAGAATTGCCCTGAGTTTAACATTTACTCTAAATGCACTATAGAGGGGACGTTTGAAAATGAAAAAGGCTTGTTTCACCTTGCAACACTCTTAATACTTGGGAAGAAATAATTAAAGAGACACAATAATGAAGTTTAAAGTGATTAGACAGATAAAAAAAAGTCCCCTAATGAAATATGCAGTAAATAATTTTCTCTCTCAGGTTGTCCTTCCATCCAGCACTGTTCAGCTGAAGCCTCGCATCATTTCCTCATGCCCTCCATCCTCACAGAGACGGTCAATCTGGTCGGCTCACTGGCCGGTGACACGGCAGTCAAAGTGTTTGAAAGAACCAGGTGCGTCCCAGTATCATCAGAGCGGTCCAGACGTGTCTGTCACGGCAGATGTGATCAGTGACTTCTGTATGTGCAGAGGATGCTTAGCTGTTCAACGCACCATCAGATGTTTCTGTCTGTTCAGTTTATGCTTAAACCGATGAGCTGTTTCCTGTGTGTGTCTCCAGCTGTCCTCAGGGAGACATCTATGTCCCCCTGTCAATCATCCAGCACATCAGCCAACCACCTGGCACCACCAGGAGCTTCATTCTCATTGGTCGCAACTTCAGCCAATGGCACTGCAGTACAGAACAAGGTGCCTCCTATGTTCACTTACGAATTATGTTGTCTTTGATTACACACAGTTATTGAATGATTTAATGGGTTCAACTTGAATCAGAGAAATCCGTGCTTTCCAAGGAGCACATTGTAATTTGATCTATAGTTTCATAAACAGGCTGATTATAACCACAGTTATAATACATTAAGTTTTACAACCATCATAGATTCATAGATTCTTTTGCTCATGTTGTTACTTGTAAAGCTGTGTGTGTGTGTGTGTGTGTGTGTGTGTGTGTGTGAGAGAGAGAGAGAGTTTGTGTGTGTGTGTGTGTGTGTGTGTGTGTGAGAATGCAGCATTAACATAGAGTTGTCTTGTTTTGCAAAGCTGTGTGTGCTCATCTCTGTTTGCCCACAGAAGACAGTTCAGATGAAGAGAACAGTCCTGTACTAAATAGGTGCACACGTAAGTTTGGCCCTTTATGGGGCCCTAGTGGCCCTCACTGTTGCAGCAGCAGGGGGCCTTCCTCCAGATCATTCCATTACACCACAGACACACTTCAACGGGGACGATATATTTGAGTGATTCTTCAATTAGGACTTTTCTTTCTTTTTTCCTAATGTTTTAGAACTTTAAAAGGCAAAATACTTTTTTGGGCTTGTCCCAACCCATTCTTTTAAACATTCACACTATAATAATATATAAAAACTGATCAGAGAAATGGTACCTTTTACTTTTAACTAAGGCCAAAAAAATGTATTCATTCATTCATCGTTCGTTCATTCGTTCGTTCATTGATTCATTCATCGTTCAATCATTCATTCATAAAAAAAATTGCCAGACTTTCCACTATTAAAAAAATGTATTAGATTAAATTGTACCTTTCACTTTTACCTAAGAACATAAAAAAATAAGTAATTCGTCCATTTATTCATTATTCTTACATGCATGCATTCATTCTTTCATTTATGAATTTAAAAAAAAATTCAAAAACTTTTCACTATAATAAATGTATAAAAAATGCATCTGAGAAATTTTACATTTTACTTTTAACCTAGACCATAAAAATCTAAATGTTTAATTATTTTATGTGTGTATGCGTATGTATTTATGTACGTATTCATTTATTTACTTGCTTATTTCAAAGAACCTCCAGATTTCCCTCTATATTCAATTTCTGAAATTTGACCACAGAAATTGTACCTTTTACTTTTACCCTCAACCAAAAAAAACCCAAAATATTTTCAATTCTTTTGGTATTTATTCATTATTTTATAACAAACAAAAATCATTGTCCTACATATCGCCTCCATTACCATCACACTTACTGCCAAAATCCACTTTACTGTTGAACAGATGTAATACATGTTTTGAAATGAATAACACGTATTTAAAGAAGGTTTTTTTCAAGCTTTAAAGTAGTCTCTAATTAAAGATTCACTCATTTATGCATGTATGAGATCATTTTAGCCCTGCATGTTCTCTACTATTGAAACCTACTGATTTTCTTTTTTTTTTATAACTTCTACATTACTTCACTCCTAGTTGAGTATGTGGTCTGATGTTGGTATTTAAATGATATTAGAGTTTAATCAAGGAGAGAATGTCATAAAACCCTCAGTTTGCCCTCTATTAATCTACAGAGTGAGTTCTGCATTCAATCTCTCCTCAAACACACTCCATAGATGAAATAAATGCCCTGCCTCGAGGCATTAAAAAGTAATGAGCCCTGTTTATGCTTTAATATTAATTTAATTTCATGATTTGAATCAAACAGATGTCACTCATGTAAACTGAGAATGAAAAGTGACATTATAAATTGCCTTTTTTGTTGTTGTGGATCTTTATTTCATACTCCTTTTCTTACTTTATTTCTTAGTCTATTGTCTATACATGTTTCTTTACTCAAATAGTAAAGAATTCTGTCTTGTCTTAAAGCTCATAAGGGCCTGCAGCGGTTCGAGGGTTTGGAGCACAGTGATTGGCTGAGCCCGGGGCAGGCCGTGAGGGGCGTGGCTCCACGCCAGCGCTTCCTATACATACAGATTGTCAATAAGAAGGTCAGTCGGGTTGAATATAACCAGCCGTGACATGCGTAAGCAACACACTATAAAAACTCTCTTGCATTCCTGTTAACCAGCTGCGACAGTCAATGGGACGTTTTGCTGCCCACAGTGAAATATCATTTGTCTGAAATACCACAACGCTGCGTATTAAACACCGGGTGTGTTCTAATCGGCTGTGATTGTGCAGCGTCATGCAGCATTTTTGTCTTCAAGTGTGGATAGACTTTGGTGTGCAAGGTGGATTTGTGAGGTTTGTTCTTTCTGTTTTATGTTATATTGCTATGTTTCCAGGTGACTCTGTACACGTATAACTGGTCGGTGGATCTGGGCGTCTCTCTGAATCAGGGTCTGGTCAGACTGGTGCAGTGGCAGAACGCCCGCGCTCATGTGGTCAGCTGCCTCCTGAGTCAGAAAATGGGCCTTTTCCATCATTACTGCTTCTCTGATACACCTACACATGAGGACCTGAAACAGGTTAGTACACAAACACTCCGGCTGTGTTCTCAATGCAACACCAGCATACTGCAATGATTAATTAGAAACGGTATATGAAGCAATAAACATCTCAATCATTTCAACAAACACAATATCATTTTGCATGTTTATTTCAGCCAGTGATGTCCAAT